GGTGTGCAGGGTGGTGGTGGTTGACGAGCACAGGTCATCAAAGCTGTGTTGCGCCTGTCACGCCACCCTGCACGCCCACCAGTACGTGCGGGTCCGCAATGGTGAGGAGAAGCTGATGGACGTGTGGGACACGAAGCGGTGCACGAACAAGGCCTACAAGGTCAACGTCGTGAACCGCGACGTCAACGGAGCGGCCAACATCCTGATGCTAGCCAAGTGCTTTTTTGAGAATGCACTTCGTCCCACTGCATTTGGTGGACCCCCTGCTTCCCCTTCTCCCGCCCTCCCACCCCCTCTGGTTCGCCATTAGAGGCAACCAACTGCGCCAGTCAGATCCCGCTTGCGGGAAGCAGCTGTGCAACCGGCGCAAGCCCGGTAGCGGCATATCTTCGGCTCGTGCGAAGCATACGCCGCCACTACTACATGCTCGACAATATCTTAGTAGCTGGAGAAGCAAGGGGAAAACTCTGGCTGCGCGCCCATACACAATGATGTCGAAGGGCTGGACCGGGAGCCTCGTCATTATGGCCTGCCTCGCCGTGGCAGTGGCCGGGCCAGACCTGAGTAACTTTAGAGCCGTGTTCCAGACGGACCATGGAGACATCCACATGGCCTTCTATGCCAACGTGGGTTTCTGCGGATGCCCCGCTCTCCTCCTCCCGGCTGGAGTGGGGTGCTTGCTGACCTACTCCCTGGAGTCTCTCCTCACATGATTGCCAGAGGCCCCTCCTTATCAGCTTGCCCTGCACCCCTCAGGTCGCACCCAAGACCGTCGACCTCATATACAGTCTCATGGAGGCTGGAGCATACAACACCAACCATTTCTTCCGCGTGGATAAGGGCTTCGTGGCGCAGACTGCGGATGTGGCCGGCGGCCGCCTGGCAGCCATGGACTGGCGTCAGAGGGTGGGAAGCTTCTTGAGTGTGGGACGGCAGACGCGGTGATGAGAGTGTGGGGTGTGTCCGTCAAGCCACCTGGCAATGCGGTTTGTGTGGTGACACATGTGCTCCTGCACTGTGACCATGGACATGTTTCCTAAAATACAACCACACACTGCACCACCCCTCCCGGACAGGATCTGGCAGCAAAGCACGTGCCCCTAGAGGTCACTCCCGCGGTGAAGCACGACAAGCGCGGCGTGCTTTCGTTGGCGAGGCACAGCGACCCCGAGTCTGGGGGCTCCTCCTTCTCAATCCTGCTTGGCCCAGCCCCCCACCTGGACATGCAGTACACCGTGTTTGGGTGCGCCCCGGCATGGAGGACGAGCCTGGGTGGGCTATGTCATTATTTCGTGCCATGGGTGTGCCAAGCACCTTGGCTCCCCTGGCCAGACCCGCCAAGTCGCTCACTCCTCAATGCCCCCATACCGCCCCGTCCACGCCAGTGAGGTAACCGAGGGGTGGGACACGCTGACGGCGCTGGAGGGGGTGGAGACCAGGCACGAGGGCATCTTCGTCATGCCCACCTCCCGCATCACCATCCACTCCACCTACACGTGCGCGACGGCTGAGGTGGAAAGAGGGAAACATGGTTGAGTATGAGTCGGGTGCCCGCACAACAGAGGCGGTTGCAAGCCCCTCCGCCCCACCGCTCCCCACCCACTCTGCTATACCCGCTGGCAGACACCGCCGCTGACCCTCCCTGCCACTTCCCTCACCCCTCTTCCCCCAAAACACACACACACATACAGATACTGGGCCCAGGACGTGGAGGGCGGCGAGCTGTGCCGCGACTCACTGGGCCCGCTCTACGCGCGCCTGGACTCCCAGGCCGTCGTCCTGCAGCGTGTGCGGCAGCAGGACCTGCCGGGAAGCTGATGGACAGTGTGGAATGCCAGCTTCATTTCCAGCTCTGTGCCCTTGTTCTCGTGTCATCGTGATGTACACACCCTCCCGGAAATGGGTCAGGCTGGTCAAGCAGAGGGTCTTAATGGATGGGTGGGTAGGTGGAACTTCTGAGACTTAGATCCAATGGAGGAAAGAGCCGTGCCCAGGGTCTGGCACATCCCCCCCCCAAAATCCCTTGTCAGGTCCGCGCGGTGATGACCCCGGCGGCCAGGCGGTAGTCCTCCTCCAGCTCGGACAGGGCCAGGCGCAGATCGCGCTCGCTGACGTGGACGCTGGCCTGCGCGTTCATGCCTTCCAGCAGCTCTGCCAGGCGCATGCCCTGGCCACCAAGCCGCGCCTGGAGCAGGGCGCGGACCTCGCCGGACAGCCGGGCCTTCATGCCGCGCTCCGCGGCCGACACCCCGGTCTGGATGACGTCCATGTCGATCTGCCCCGTGCGCGGGTCGATGGAGCTCTGCTGCATCGCCACCTTCATCAGGCGCACCGCTTCCGTCACGTCGTCCACCGTCACCGTGGCCGCCAGGCGCATGCGTGCCAGCGACTCCGACAGCCGGATCAGGGACTCCAGCTGGCGCGGCGTGGCACTCACCGTCTGCAAGTAGTGGCGGGGGTGGGGTGGGGTGGGGTGGGGTGGGGTGGGGGAGGAGGTTGTGAGCTTCTGGTTTGGCGGCTGTTGATGGTGGCTGGCGTGGATGTTTGCAGGGTGGCAGGACATGCTGGTGTTATGATCCTGCTTGCACGGTTCATCAAAGGTCTCTGAGTTCCGCGGCAGGTGCATGCACGCCTGTATGTAAGATCCAGTGCCCCTGGCTCGCCGCCTCGCATGATTTTTGGGCGGCAGTCTCCCTCGACGCTGCACGCACCACATCCCCCCTTCCAGTTCACCCCCTCCCCCCCCAAACAACGAAGCCCTGGCATGCCTATCTCACACACCTTCCGGCTCATGCCCATGCTCCGCATCTCGGCGTACGATGTCGCCAGGGCTTCGGCCGCCTCGGAGGACAGGGCCGGGTGGCAGGTGGCGCGCGCAAAGGCGATGTACTCCTTGAGCAGTTCGGCGGCAATCGGGGCCTGTTGGGCAGCAGGGAAGTGTGTGGAGGTCTTGCATTGACGTGGAAAAGGTGAGACTTGGGGGCCAAGGTGACCATCCCAGCATCCGCCTTGTTCCAAAGCCAAGTACGCCAAGCGCATGTCGGCATGAATCCCCATGGCATTGATCCAAGCACCGCTGTCACACCGGCTCAGGCTTCCACTGCACCGCGCCAACCAAGACCCTCGTCCAGGCACTGCCGCCCCACCTTCTTGGCCTCCAGGTTGGACCTGTCCCCGAACAGGGAGACCAGGTGTTTGGCCAGCTTCCGGTCAGATGCCTCGTTGGGCTTGTCCAGCAGCAGGTAGATGAGGTCGAAGCGGGACATGAGGGAAGGGGGGAGCTGGATGTTCTCCACCACGCTCAGCTGGGGGTTGTACCGGGAGCCGACGGGGTTGGCGCTGGCCAGCACTGTACAGGGGACGGGGAATGGAGGTGGGAGTGGAGGTGGGAAGAAGACTGATCATCCACCTTGAGTCACGCATGTAAAGGTTTCCGCGTGACAAAACTCGATCTCAGGTTTCGATGAGGCATTCTGGGCAGTCAGCTCACCAGAAGTCCGGGCATTCAGGGTGGCAATGATGCCGGCTTTTGCGACCGAGATGGTCTGCTGCTCCATGACCTCATGCAACTGTGGGCAGGATTCAGGGGAGGAGGACAGGGGAATGTGAGCTGGCAAGCTTAGACCCCTTTACACCCTGGCGGATGATGATGGCTGGTTTCGATTCTCAGAACACAGTTGACCACCAGGAGCGCTGCGCTTGAGAGGTGGACCTCCTCACAGTCTTGCACGAATTACAGCCACAGCCTCGCATCATGCTCCTCAGATATCTACTTTCCATCCTCCCCCCTCACCATGCTGCGTGCCGCCTCGGACATCTTGTCAAACTCATCGATGCAGCAGATGCCGCGATCTGAGAGCACCAGGGCTCCGCTCTCCAGCACCATTTCCTTGGTCTCGGGGTCCTGTGTGAGGATTGGTGGAGGTGGAGGATGAGGACTGAGGATTTGACATCCATCTGAGGATGGGTGTCCAAAAGACCTGATCATGTCGGAAGGAAGGCCGCATATGTGCACAAAGAATACCAATACGGAAGGAGATGGAAATCCCGATTAGCCATACGATGGGCCAGCGATCATCCTCCAGCCTCACAGGCCAGCAAGTTGCCTCTGCCATCACCTTCATGTCCCGCCATCCGACAGGTTCCCTCAAACCCCCCACCCTCACCCGCGTAACGTAGGCTGTCAATCCCACTGCCGAGGATCCCTTGCCGGAGGTGTAGATTCCCCTTGGCGCAAGCTTGTGCACATAGCTGTCGGTCGGGTAGCGGGTGAGTGAGGAGATTGGTGGGCAACTGCTCGATCCTGGCTGGAATTGACCGCTCAGGGATACCTGCCTGCAAGACTCTGCCAGGCATAGCGGGCGGGTTCTGGCTGCATTGGAGAGGGCACAAGCCACACCATCAGCTCAGCACAGCCTGTCCCACCGCTGTCCCTCCCAGCAACCCCACCATCCGATACCTTAGGATTTGGGACTTGGACACTCCCGGGTCTCCCACGAGCAGCACATTGATCTCCCCACGCGTCTTGACACCGGGCAGGGTCTGTGTGCGTGTATTTGAGGGTTTGGAGGGATGATGAGGTCAGGGATCTGGGGTTCCGGCCCTACAGAGCACAGGGACAGGGCAATCCAATGGCAAGATGGGCTCTACCCCCCGTCTCTGAGGCGCAGGTCGTACAAGCAGCAACGCGCTCTGCTTGTACGACTCCTCACAAGACTGTCCTCGCATCCAGAGCACCCGCCCCTCCACCCCCACAAAGACAAGCCCTCACCTTGGACACCCCACCAAACAGCTGGCAGAGGAGGCCCTTCTTCACGTCGTCCAGCTGCCAGATGGAGGGCGCCAGCGAGGCCGCCAGCTTTTCGTACACATCCGGGTCGGCGGCGATGGCCTGCAGCTGCGTCCTCTTCTCCGCCATCTCCTCCCCCGTCACGTTGTTGGTGCGCACCCCGTTGTTCTGGGCGTCGCCGGCCTTGGCCGCCGCCGTCAGGTGAGCGGGCAGCTCCTGGGAGCGGGGTGGCGTGAGGGGGTGAGGCTGGGTTTGCCTGCTGTAAGAAAGGAGGGAAGCTTGGGCAACAGTCGCATGAACAAATGCCTGGACCCCATGCACAGCCTGGCCTTCTCCAAGCCTCCTGTCCCCACCCCCCCAACACGCACAGGGGCCTCACCTCGCCCTCCTCGGCGGCCAGCGTGTCGGAGAGGGAGAAGAGGGAGGTCGACTCGTTCTTCTCCACGTGGACCACGTCCAGGTAGGTCTTGTACACAGCCTGTGGGCAGATGAGGAAGGGTGGAACATGTTTCTGTGAACATTTGGAAAGAAAGCCACGTGATTGGGAGGCAGCAAGGCCCCAATCTGATCCATCACCACTACCGAGGAGCACCCCCCGACCCAACATCTCAACCGACGCGCCTCCTGAAAACGCCCCTCCCCCCCCCCCCCCCCGTCCCCCTTCCACTCGCCTTGGTTTCGCGGAGGCGGGGGTTCACGCGTACGCCTGCAGCTCGGTACACGCCGGTGACGGTGATGCGGTCGCCCGGCTTGGCCAGGTCCACCAGATCCTGTGTGATGAGGGGGCCCATGGCCGAGTCCACTGAGTTGGAGGTTCCAGCAGGTTCCAGGAGCCCTTTCCATGACCCAGTGGTCCTCCACGGTGGGAGGCTCAGCCTCGCGCACACACCCCCAGCACCAGCGACGGTCACGCAGACGTGCATGCAGGCCGAACATCAGGTCCCTGACGCCTCCCTCCCGCCCTCTGCAAGCGTGCCTGGCGTGAAAACATGGTGACGGTGTGCGGCGTCTCGCCCTCCGGGATGTCGTTGGGGTTCTCCTGCATCTTCATCAGCTGCTTGTCCAGGAAGCAGGAGCGGTTGTACAGCATCTGCATGCTGTACCGCGCCTGCAGCGCAGGATGGGTGGTGGTGGGAGGATTGCATGTGGAGGGTGTGGCAGGGCATGGTGTAGGGGTGAACGACGTCCATGCCACTGCCACCTTGAGTGCAGTCTGTGCTCCCTAGTGCCGGGCCCAGGACCAGGCGGGCTCCCACTCCCATTCCTCCTGGGCATCCCCGCTCGGCCCACTCCAGTCCCCAAGCAACACACACACCTGCCCGCACCTGGCAGGAGGGGCTGGGGCAGGTGGAGGGCTCGTTCACCTTGCCCCTATCGTTCCACTCCACCACCTCGTGCCCGCACTGCATGCAGCGGAACAGGGCCAGGCTGCGAAGTAGGGGGCAGGGAGGGGGGTGGTTTGCGGCTCCGCATGGGGTATGTGGAATGTGATGCGAGGACCCTGGCATGGCATGAGTGCACGAGATCGCCGCGCTTGCTGGAACCAACCACCGGCAGCCTCTCTGGTATGCATCTGACTCGATAGGCACTGCCCGTTTCCTGTAACACAGCTCCACTCTGAGCTCCCGGACCCC